AGGATTGGTCAAAACCTACCACGGACACTAATGCGGGCAAAGAGAGAGTTACTCGAGTGGCTCACTAGTCCAGGCCTGACACTGACAAATGTACAGTCGATATGCGACGGATATAAATCGTAAGGAAAATGTAGAGTACGGACCTGAAATGAGAAAACTTTTCCTCTCCATACTCCGCCACGCTCACAGTGATGCCTTTGGGCTGGTACTGTCTCTTGAGCCAACGAATGCCGGCCAAGTTGGTGGTCATAGAGTGCTGGACGAGCATCACATCTCCAATCAGCTGGGTATCAGCGGCATCGAAGAGGACCTCATTCTCGTTACAGCAAAAGTGATAGTCATGCATGTTGGCCTGAGTGGTACCACTTCACAGGAGTCGGATAAAACAGAGTTGAATCACCTTTCTCTGCTCTTCGTTCCAAGTCCAGAACTCTGGATTGTAAGACGAGTCTGCCATGAGCGGCTTAGGGGCCGAGACCCAATTCATTTTGGGGTCGTTGTCAAAGTAGTAACGGCAGAGTTTACGGTATGGGCGGTACTCGAAATAACTGAAAATGATGCAGAGGATAGAGCGACAGGAGACAAATGTAGCCCTCACCGAGATCTCTTGCTCATAGTGGCTTCTAAAATTTCATTGCCGATCGTACAAATGACGTCACGAGGACAGACAGCGCAGTATTGGTTCGGGCTCTCAAAATCGGGTGTCTTGGTGCGGACGTTGAAATCACAGCACGCAGGATCGGGGCGTCTCACGATAACACCTTCAGACTCGAGAACCTAACAGGGCGAAGCGGTCCGCTGAAGATTCTGCGAGATTGAGTCGTGAATGGTACTTCTTTGAGGCCGTCGAGCTCCTCGTTGCAGCGGTCGATGAAACTCTTCAACTTCGGACCGGTGGGCCAAGGCAAAAACTCCGAAAATGGATGGGACATGGACGAACCATACTTGGTATATCTACGTCAAATTGGTTACGGAAAACCACCAAAAGGCACTCACTGATCGTTAAACTCAGACTCG